TAAGAGAAACGAAGTGTAAATTACATGAAAAACATGACATGATCAAGTAAAAGTAACTGCAATTGGACTCCTCACCAGTTACTTTCCAAAATCCCATAACAGCTGCCCTTTTAAAATTTTACTTGCTTTTGGTGGAACTCCGCCTGTTTGGATTCGTAGGGGGTGAAGGGAAGTTAAGGGAAACTGAGTGAAGGGAAGGGAAGGGAAAGGAAGGGAAGGGAAGAGAATTCCCTTCCCCTTGGTTACACCCCAATTTGGGGGTAACAATTTTTATACTATTAGGGGGTGAACCAAGGTGAATGGAGGTGAATTAACTTCACCTCCTAAGTGTTCCCAAACAAGGTGAATGGAGGTGAATGGTTCCCCTAACTTCCCTTCACCCTCATTCCCCTCAATCCAAACAAGCAATGCCACCGTAAAATTTTGCTTTTCACCTTCATTAGTGAATGTAAGGTATTTGGGTAAACATCTACATCCACTCCCTCTGGATTATCAACCTTAATCGTATAAACTGAGTTACCATCACCAACATTCATCACCGTTCAATTCTTCACTTCGATACCGATTTAGCCCCGAGATACACCAAAGTCGAAGGGTAGTTCAATTGCTCAGGTTCAATAGCTTGAACTTGAGAACACAGTCGGGCCACGAACCATATTGCTGATACGTCAGAGTCCCTAAGTTTCAGGCCACAAAGATATCGGACGTAATCGTGCGGGCCAGTATCATATATCAGACCTGGATCATTAGCTGCCACTGGATCCACATGACCCGATCCCATCGTGAAAACTCCAGCAGTACGTTTTACAGTCATATTGATTTTTTATCAGGTTGCCGTCTCGATCTTTGGCGTAGGCTGTTGTCAGGATCGCTGATTTAATTGCAGCCGATGATTGTGCTTGATGAGCGCCGCGATCCCTGAAACGTGAGGTGCAGCCATCGACGTTCCACTTACCATGGTAAACGTCTTATCCGTGCCTGTAGGATTCGGACCGACCTCAGTTGGCGCCCAAGCTGCGAGAATGTTCGAACCGGGTGCAATAAAGTCTGGCTTTATTATGTTATCGTTAAAGAGGTCCATCTACTCTGCTCGGAAGAGGCCCGTCAATCCCCCTGGCCTGAACGTACGGTGACGATCCCCTTGGTGACGGCCGCAAACGATCCGATTGCTATATCGTCTTTGTATAATTCCAGAGGTTTTTCAAAGCCTACAGACATAGAGAGAATGTCCATGTTATCACGAATCGCTTGATCTATACCTTTGAGGATATCCTTAGAAGTGCCGTCCGAAACTTTGTAGACTGCAAGGTGAGCTCCGGGTGCCAATCCTGAAGCCGCTCCCTTGGCGTAACCGACAACATTGGCATCGTCCACGGGGTTCCCGGTTGCTGATCGAGCTTGCCTTGTGGGTCGACCCGTGCCCGTCGGTATCTTCGGGCGAAATAATTCGTCCACTGTCGAAGCAGATTGCGCCGATGATCTTCTTGTTTCCTCCGCCTCGGCTCCAGTAGCATTATTTGCTTCCGTGGACTTCAAAGAAAATGGAAGAGGATAACAAAAGCAGCAGAGATGTTAGTGAGAGAAATTGATGGGTTTACGAATCTCCATTGAAGTGGATATATAGTGCAACTTTGATCGAAGACTGAAAGGTTAGAAGGTTATGTAGAATCTAGGACAAGTTCAGGTTCATGTTTTTATCAAAATTTAAGTATTACAATGAGGAGGATAACAAGGAGGAAGCAGGGATCCAATGTTAGGAGAAAAGAGCAATTAATTTGGAAATAATGTGTGCCTATACATGTATATGTATAATAGGAATAGTACAAATTTGGTTTGTTATGCTGGAAGAAGCATCCTATGAGCGAATAAAGCAATAGTTATGTTGCACTTTGTTGTTCATTAGGAACCAACACTCTATTAGAAACCAAGTTTGCTGTCACTTGTCAAATTATGAGGAAGTGGTTCTCCTCTTGCTGATCAAAGCAGCCTGATCACGAGAAGGGTAACGTGTATCTTGCATTTGAGTTTTGACAAAGCATGAATGAATGATGGGGGTGGGTAGAATTGTTGCATTTTTGGTGCTATTGGTATTCTAGGCCCAGAATAAAGCATATCATGAACAAATTACAAGGAGGCATCTCCACGACGAAATGATGCACAAAAACTATGCTAATCCAACAAATATACACGACAATCGTTGTTATAAAAGGTTTTCAACTAGATTTACCAACAGGCTAAATAGCAACTTAAATGCCTTATAGTTTCACTCACATGCTAATTTGTTCATATGACATTCATATTTGGAAAATTCTTAAACGAAAGTTCTCATATGACATTCACATGCTAATTTTATAGTTTTCTTTCTATTAAGTTTGTCGAATTCATTGTTAAAATTTTCCAAATTTTATTTTTAAGATAGGATTTGGATACATTTGAATAAGGATTTGGATGGGTTTAATAGTAATTTAGAAAATATAATTTTACATATGAATGTTATATGCGGACTTTCAAAAGTAAATTTTTACTTTTACAAAACAGTGGATATTAACGTGTCAATTTTATACAACTCAGGATATATATAAATGCTACGAAACACAGCTGAGGGCGTTAAGCGAGTGAAACTATAAGGTATTTTAGTGTCATATAGAAACTTTTTTTTGGCCATATTGAAACCTTCTAGCAGTGGGTATTTATCAACGCAACTTAGCAAATCATTAATAAGACCCAAAATATGGGACCGACAAGGGGTGTCCCCCTCCTATTGCATAATGAGCTGGCGAGCTCATTATGCAATAGGAAAGAGACCCCTCACCTGTCCCCCGTGTTGATCCCATATTTGGATACACGTAGCAAAGCCCTGAATAAAATACTTATTCTCCACCCCTTTCAGTTTCAGTTATAAAATAACGCCCATTTTCCCCTTCTCCCTCCAAAAACCCTACAAAACCCTAAACCCTAACCCTGACTCCGCCATGAACGGCCTCCTTTCCTCCTCCGCCGACCGCCAAATCTCAAAGAATCCCCTATGCACGCGATCCAATCTCTATGGCTACATCAGATTCCGTTGCGTTCAATCCACCAATTTCTTGATTGTAACCGAACCTGGCAGTTCGAATTTGAAACAAGTTGGTATCGCGATGAATTCGATCTGGATAGTTTATTAAAGAAGGACTCATCGGTTTTCGAGCTACGTGAGGCCGATTTCGAAGTTTGTTTCGGCTGGGCATAGTTTCGAACAGGTTGCTGCGTTCTTGGCAAAGTTTCGGATTTGGTCACGGATGAAATTGTTCACA